CCGTTTTCTGACCTTTTCTGTCTTTTTTCTGCAGTTTTTCTTCGTTTTTCTGCCTTTTTCTGTTTTTTTTCCTGCTGTTTTGTGCCTTTTTCTCCATTATAGTGTTGTGTTTATTATCTGAGGACACGTTTTAGACCCTTTAGACACGTTTTAGGTGTGTCTATACCTGGAAGGCGCTGCTGGCGAAGCCCAGCCCCAGCTGCCTGCATCCATCCATCCTTATTGTAGAGTTTATTCTGGATTATTCTGGATTATCTGAGGATCTTAGTACTGAATTCCCAATAACAAGGGACATTTACACACTGTTTTTAGGCCGTTTTTAGACTGTTTTCTGCCTTTTTCTGTCTTTTTCTGCTGTTTTTCTACCTTTTTCTGCCTTTTTTCTGGGTTTTTTTCTGCTGTTTTCTGCCTTTTTCTGTATAATTGTATTGTGTATTGTGTATTATTCTGTTTTCTGCATTTTTCTGTCTCTTTCTGTAGTTTTTCTACAATTTTTATGCCTTTTTCTGCTGTTTTTCTACCTTTTTCTGCCTTTTTCTGTTTTTTTTTCTGCTGTTTTCTGCCTTTTTCTCTATTACAGTATTGTGTTTTCTGGATTATCTGAGGATCTTAGTACTGAATGCCCAATAACAAGGGACATTTACACACTGTTTATAGGCTGTTTTTGGGCTGTTTTCTGACCTTTTCTGTCTTTTTCCCGCAGTTTTTCTTCCTTTTTCTGTTTTCTTTTTTTCTGATGTTTTCTGCCTTTTTCTGTTTTATTGTATTGTATATTCTGTATTATTCAGTATTATCTGAGGATCTTAGTACTGAATGCCCAACAACAAGGTACATTTACACACTGTTTTTAGTCAGTTTTTAGTCTGTTTTCGGGCTGTTTTCTGACCTTTTCTGCCTTTTTCTGCTGTTTTTCTACCTTTTTCTGCCTTTTTTCTGCTGTTTTTCTACCTTTTTCTGCCTTTTTCTCCATTACAGTGTTGTGTTTATTATCTGAGGACACGTTTTAGAC